GCCGAGAGGGAGCCGCTTCTTGTTCCTTCTTATGTGGAGACGAACAGTAATCCGGTAAACAGCAGAGTGTATGGGAGAAGATGGCTGGTTCTGACCCTGTTTTCCCTGCTGGCACTGATGCAGGGAATGGTGTGGAACTTCTGGGGTCCCATACAGAACTCAGCCGCTCACGCTTACGGCTTTACCAAGTCTGACATCGCGATTTTGGTGCTGTGGGGCCCGGCTGGCTTCCTCCCTTGGTTGCTGTTTATGTGGTTAATGGATAAAAAAGGTGAGTTCTTTTAATGTGGCACACTGTGTCATACCTCAACGATGATTGTGCCTCAGCCCACCAAGATCTACAGCTATGTAACTTAATGGCGTGTTTTGTTTTAGGTTTCGAAAATTTCTGTTATCATTAGTTTGACCTTATGCAATCGCAGAATGTTTTTACTCTGATAAAATGCAGTATTTACGAGACCTTATAGTCTTCATTCAGTTTTTAAATGGGTTGTTTTTGCCCAGTAAGACACATAGATGAGTTGAAAACATGAGGTGGGGGGAAAGTGCTTATATGGGACAAGCAAGTCTTAATTTCCTTTTTAAAAATTCTTTATTTTCAGGTTCAAAAGCCAATACAAAAGCAGTATTTCTTGGAAAGAATGAAAGTAGCCCTCTTGCGTGTGCTTTACCAAACCAGTTCCTCTGCATCACCTGACTGTAGATGTTTGTAATGACCACGCTGGTTGTCAGATGACAAAAACAGTAACAAGGCACTAACAACATGGACCAGACTGCTGGTCCGTGCACAATCTTGTCAAGAAGTTGCATAACTCAGCTTGTGATCACAATCACATTAACAATTAGGTGTTTTTGTTGCCTAATTTAATTGTAGGCAACTTGATGATGGTATCTGCTTCTTTCAGCAACTTGTTGTAAATTCTTCCTGGTGTAGATTCCTTACAGACCTTACAAAAAACCTTGTGGTCATGTCTGCATCTGAGTTAAGTAGTGTCAACCATGGTGTGCCCTTGCAAAAAGACTTATATGACTTGCAAAGGTTGTGATATGCTTAGATCTAATCCAGCTTGACTGTGGGGAAAGTACTTGGTTTCCCTTTGGGAAAACTGGGCACCAGTGGCAGACCTGCCTGTTTTCCTCTCATTTAAAGTGAGCATGGTTTTGTTCTGTGAGCACAGGTCCCACTAAAGCAACCTGGACCCTCATGATACTCATATGGAGTCTGATTTTGAGGGTTTGGTTTGAAACACGCACATGAGTAATCCCATCGGTGGTCATGTTGTAGAGCTTTGGGAATGCTCTTCCAGTTCCTTTTTGCACAAACTTGCACATACACTATTGCTGTTGTGTCAAAGCCTTAAATGGGCCTGTCCAACTGCCACTATGTACCAGCCCTCCCCTGTCTAGCTCCCCACTCACGAGACAGTGCCAAGAGACAGGTAGCTGGACTACCTGTGTAAATTGAATGGGCTGCATATACCATCTCATGGTGCCAGTAGTGACAAGGACACTGTTAAAATGAATATCTAAATATATGGAAGTAACTATAGATTTACGGCTGCAGTTGTGATGATCATTAACTTGCCCTTCATGT